TTCTTCTTCTTCTTCTTCTTCTTCTTCTTCTTCTTCTTCTTCTTCTTCTTCTTCTTCTTCTTCTGCCATATCCGTTATCGGACGTTGGCGATCCTGTTTTTATCAGCAGCCGCACGAAAAAGTGCTGCTGAGTTTTGTCCAAACCAGTCCCTTAGATTTTGAAGCCACGATATTCTTCTTCTGCCTGGACCTCGTTTGCCTTCAATCTTTCCCTGGAGGATTAAATGGAGTATGCCGTATTTTTCTGGGTGTCGCATCACATGTCCAAAATATTCTAATTTTCATTTTTTAATTGTTTTGATGATTTCCCTTGGCTTTCCCAGGCGGCTTATCACCTCCTCATTTCTGATCTTGTTGACCCAGCTTATACGTATCAGCCGCCTGTAAATCCACATTTCAAATGCTTCTAGTCTCTTTAGGTGGCCTTCTGTCAGAGACCAACTCTCTACTCCATAGAGCAGGATAGAAAAAATATAGCATCTGACAAGCCTGATTTTCAGTCTTAGTTCTTGTCTCTGCCTTATTGAACAGGTGCCAACCCTCTCAAATATTTCCAGCAAACCTGCCCCAAATCTCTTCCCATTTACTTATTTCTCTTCTCTTATTTTAGCCCCTGCTTCCAGATGCCAGGCAGAACACCTCCACATGGAAGGATATGGGCCAGAAGATACTCCTCCTTATACAGTACATGTGGCCAAAGAAGAACTACCCGCTACAGGGCATGGTGATATTCTGTCTAATGCTTATGGGGATGGAGCGTGCCATCAATGTCTTTGTGCCCATCTACTACAAGCATATCGGTAAGAAGAGTGGATGACTTGCAGGCGGGCCTGGTGCTGCCTCTAGGGCAGGGCTGGTCCAACTTTTGGTAAGCAGGAATTGCAGTTAGTGATATGTGGGAATGTTTAATGCAGTGTTTCTCAATCAAAGCAACTTTAAGCATTGGCTAGGGAATTCTGGTCCACACATCTTAAGGTTGCTGAGATTGAGAAACACTGGTTTAAGAGATATAGTGAGTGGGTTGATTGTGCAAAACAAGAGGAGCTGTGATGCATATGGGCAAATTGGGAATTATTTTTTTTTGGCAAGAATACATAGAATTTTTTTCATAATTTATAATTATGCTAAGCCTATTTTCAGTTTACCCTTCTGATCTGTCTCCCATGTCAAAATAATAAGAAACTCAAACTCAATATACAATCAGGAAAGGATCAAAGAGGGACAGGGGAGTGGTTCAGATTGTTCACCCTGGCATTGTGCCATAGAATTTGTCTGGGAGAGTTTTGTAAGTACAGGTAATCCCTGAGTTATGAATGTTCCCATAGCGAACGTTCGAAGGTATGCGATAAGCATGCCCCATTGTTTATGAAAAAGTCCCAAAATTATGAATGTTGTCACACCATGGCGGTTGTTCACCCTTATGAACGACCACAGAAACACTGCAACATTCAGTGGCTACAACATTGGCTACTCTCCCCCCCACCCACCCTGGGTCTCCCTAGGCCAGGGGTAGGCAACCTCGACTCTTTTATGACTCATGGACTTCAACTCCCAGAATTCCTGAGTCAGCATAGCTGACTCAGGAATTCTGGGAGTTGAAGTCCATGAGTCATAAAAGAGCCGAGGTTGCCTGGCCTAGGAACTAGGCCTTGTGCAGATGTAGAGAGTCTTCGCTTCTTGGCTGTTCTGCTGCTTCAAGCCATCCGTGCGTTTGCAGAGAATGGTGACCTAAAGTACCGCAAGGTCATGCGAGATCAGTGGCTCATACTACTGATCTCGGCCTTATCTCACTGTACTTTAGACCTCTGTTCTCTGCAAATAGAGGCCTGGACGAGATCTGTGGCAAAAAGCTTTGCAAATGGAGGTAAGGGCTGAAACATCGACGCCTTTCCTCCATTTGCAAAGCCTTTTGCCATCTTTGCAAAAAAAAACTCTGCCGCTGAGAAGGGACCTCTGGAGACCCGCTGCCATCATTCCCAACCTCTGTTCTGGGCATGGTAGGCCCACAGGAACCGCTCAGAATGGAGGTCGGGAGCAGCGGGTCTCCGGAGTCCGTTCTGGGCAGGGGAGTTCTCTTGCGGGCCTCCCCCATCCAGAATGGAGGTTGAGGTCAGAGGTCCGTTCTGGGTGGGGGAGACCTCCTGCGGGCTTCCCCCACCCAGAATGGAGTCCGAAAGCTTCTGGGCGCCATGATCTCGTTCTCAAGCACCTGTCCGCTTTTACAGAGAGTGGGTGTCTGACTTCCCACGAGATCAGGGCATCCAGAAGCTTCCAGGCTCTGCACCAAAAATGCACACCAACAAGAGGTTTGAGGCAACGTGATTTCGTTGCCCCCAACCTCCCTTCGGCATCCAAACGTTTTTCCACGCCAAGCCTGGAAGCTTTAGAAGAGACTCATTGAGGTTGCCCGCCACTCCAGAAGTGGCCGGCAGTCCAGTGAGTCAGAGAAGCCAAGCAGCGCGCGCTCGGCCTGCTCTCCCTCTGCTCTTGCCGGGAACAGACAAAGAAACAGGCTGGAGAGGAGACAGATCTTCACCCAGCACGACAGGATGGAGTGGGGGAGCAATTGAAGGGACCCCAGGGGAGGGAGAATGAGGTATTTCAGTGTGTCGGGGGAGGCCTTGGGTGGTCTGAAATAGGTGGCCTGTTCCATCACTAGCCCCCCCCCCATGGCCTTCCTCACCCTGAGATACCTCACGTTCATTTAACGAGCCGCACATTCTCCCACATATTAAATTAGCGAATGCCTGGGCGAAAGCAGGGAGTGATCTCATTCGAGGTACGAGATTCACTCCCATGAATTCTCGAGTTACGAATAGAATGGGCAGGGCTCCGTTATATTCATAACTCGAGGACTACCTATACAGCAGGGAGGATAACGGTTTAAGAAATGTCCTCTATTTTAGTTAGTGCTCCAAATTAGCCAGCAGAGGGTGCTCTTACACAACTGCTTACAGCAGTGTTTCTCAACCTTGGCGAGTTTAAGATGTGTGGACTTCAAGTCCCAGAATTCCTCAGCCAACATTGCTGGCTGGGGAATTCTGGGAGTTGAGGTCCACAAATTCTAAAGTCACCAAGGTTGAGAAACACTGGCTTACAGAATGCAGACTATTTTCATAGAAAGGGTCAAGTACAAACCAACCCAGCTCAATTAGTTGGTATTGGCTGTTAATTTTCCGATAATTACAAATGCTTGTCTCAGTGAGCCCTAGCCATCTGGAAGCTCTCCAGGTTGTGAGTCCTTAACAAGCACTTGTTTTAAGCACCCACTGCAAAACAATGTTTGGTGAGACTTTTAACCAACTTCACTCCCCAGAGTGACTGCCAGCAAAATGCTTGACACATATACACGGCGGGAAAGAACTTTATGTGTGTCAAGATATGTTCCTCTTGTCTTTTAGAGGCACTTCCCTACCTCTGCAAAAAGTGATGCAATGGATTGGGATAACAAAGCACTCAGTTGTACTACTTGGAATTGCATACCACACATATTCTAAAACACTTACAGTGTGTGCATACCATTCCTACCAGCAAATGTGCTGTTTATACCGTAGTTCTGCCACTTCATTTTTATGTTGTCTAGAAAACACCTCTCTTTTTTGTCAATATCTTCTGTGTTCTGTCTTTGTTCTTCATTAAGACTCACAACTTCCGTGAAGCTCTTTCTTGCTAAAAAACTGCGGCTTCGCCTTGCATTTCCCCAACCACTCTTGTCTTATCCCCACTTTCTCTACCCACTTCCCTTCTTTTTTTCCATCTCCAATGTCTCCATCTCGTGTACATTTTGATCTCTAGGTGGAAAATTGCTTCCTTATCAGCAAAATTACAGCACATCATTTGGGTAGCGATGGGATTCGTGATTTTATAGGACTGGGGATCAAGCTAGTATTTTTGATGGGGAAGACGTGAATTCAGTAGCTTCTTAAATTCTTCCAAATACCTCTCCCTATTCTCTCACCAGATCTCCAGTCCTGAGCCCCACTGTGACTTCCTATCCTGCATGCTTCTAGACTAACTCTGTTGAATTTCTGAGAGGAGCGCTAGCTCTTTGTTAGCAGAAACTGTTGGTGTTTGCCAGTTTCCCATGCCCTGGTGGGCACTGTGAGTGCCAATTCGGGGCAGCTATTGAGAGGTATTTGAATAGAGGGGATGGACTCTAGACCTGCCTTTCAGCCCTGACTTTTAGACTTTACAAAAGAATCCCTGTAGGCGGGAGGCATGGAACTGCAAATGGCATACAAAATGGCTGGATGAGAAGGAATCCGGGAGCAGGGCGGCTCTGTCCTACATGTTAAGTAGTTTCAAGGCAGGAACATTGTCTTCCTCAGGCCCACCTGGAGGAGGCTTTGCTCTGCAGATTTTAACCAGATCCTCTGCCCATTCCTAGCCCGAATGCAGCTGTCTGGTACAGTAGCCTTTGACTTACTATGACTACAATTGAGCCTAGAGTTTCTGTTGTGAAGCGAGGCAGTTGTTAAGAGAATGTTGCCCCATTTTAGACCTTTCTTGCCACAGATGTTAAGTGAATCATTGCAGCTGTTAAGTTAGCAACATGGTTGTTAAATGAGTCTGGCTTCCCCATTGACTTTTCCTCTCAGAAGGTCACAAAAGGTGATCACATGACTCTGGGACACTTGCAACCGTCATAAATACAAGTCACTTGCCAAGCATCTGAATTTTTATCACATCACCATGCAGATGCTGCAACGGTGGCAAGTGTGAAAAACGGTCATAAGTCACTTTTTTCAGTGCCTCTGTAACTTCAAACGGTCACTAAATGTTGTAAGTTGAGGACAGCCTGTATTCTAGAGCTCATTCTTGTCCAGCAATGGACTTACGAACGTGGTTATCCCTTGCTGAGTCAAGCCAGCAATCCATCCTGCCTTTGCCAACAAAAAATGATGGGCATGCTTCAGTTATGAAGTTACCAGGCTGCCCATGGCCGGGCCACCAGTATACTTGTTTAATCGCTCACACACGTGTGCAAATAGAAAGGGTGGAAAGGAAAATAGTGCTTTTCAGCAGGTCACTTCAGCCTCATCCCATTTTCTTAACAGTCTTGCGGCTGCTTATGGTGCTCTACCTCAGTGGTTCTCAACCTTTTTAATGCTGCGACCCTCAACCGGTCGTAAGTCGAGGACTAAACCGGTCGTAAGTTGAGGACTAAACCGGTCGTAAGTTGAGGACTAAACCGGTTGTAAGTCGAGGACTACCAAAACGGTCGTAAGTCGAGGACTTTCCCTGCCCGGGAGCACCGCACATGCGTGGTTCCGCCCCCTGCGCCGGCCGAGGCGTAGCTGGCAAGCGGCAGAGATGGAGCAGGCCGACCACCAGCTGGCCCAGCCCAAGGGAGGTAAGGCACCCGCCGGAAAAGGGGAAAAAAATGGCGGACAGCCTTGCTTGGCGATCCCCGCAAAATGGTCGATCGACCCCAAATGGGGTCGCGACCCATAGGTTGAGAACTGTTGCTCTACCTGAAGCTGTAGTAGAATGGAGGGAGCAATATTCCAGAAAACACACTGCCAGTGACATTGTTATCCATAATGGATGTCACAGTTCTGATGTGATGTACACCACACCAGTATCCAGCAGAGTGTTGGGGATTACAGTGATCCTCAAAGTTCCCTATAGACCTTCCCATCCAAGTGGGTGGGATGTGACTTCCAGCTGTCTACTACAGCAAAACAGCAGCCTATTCAACTGGTAGGTGAAGATGAGCTGGATAATTATGGGCTACGCATAGAGTGGCCAAGGACTATGGATAGCCCATGTGCGTTGATCCACAGTTTCTGGTAGAAATTGTGCTTTCAAACTCTCAAGGCTAGCATCCACCAGCATCCACATATATACCTAATTCCCTTGTTTCTTTTGACTCACTTGTACCTTGTACTATTATTATGGGTGGTGGTGGGGGGATTCAGCTGCCTGTCAGTTTTCAGGAATAGAATTAAGGATCTCAGTTCTCAAACATTTACAAGCCAGAGGAATGAGTTTGGTAAATGTTTTCTTCATAATTACAGTGGGACACATAGTATTATTATTTTGTTTCTTCATTTTTAGACTCAACATATACCACATGGATTTGTAGTGCTATATAATTAGAAATCCCCCAAAGAAACAGTAATCCCAGTAGTACAAATATATTTTGTGATACATTTAAATCATGATTCATTCAATGATTCAAAATTAAATTATATACCACTGACAGACTTAATTAATGATCCTTCTGAATATCTCCATTGTATACCTAAAGCTCCGGAGTGATGTCAGTTTTTGGATTTCTGGTGAGAGGCTCTTCCTAGAATTACCACTGTTTAGTAAACTGATTAAATTCTGGGCATTTACAAATGCTTAATTCTACATTTAAACTTTCTTTCCTTGTAAGTCTCTTGTAAATCTGTTTAATAGTTTTCCCTGCTTTGTTATTTAATGACTATTTTTAATGTAACGTGTTGTGCACTTTATCCCTGGATTTATGTATGTTGAGAGAGACACGTGTCATGAGGAAGTTAGAGCACTACCAGCTTCCCATTCAGTATCTTGGTGGGAAAACAAAGGAGGGTTGCGTGTTGTGCGGGACAGTTAAAGCCTCTGCCTGGATGGTGGGTCTGTCAAACTCTTCTCTCTATCGAAAGTCTCTATTTCTAAGGTTGAAATTTGGCAGGTACTTTTGTGTCATATCATGAGATGGACAGAAGATGGAGAGTCACAGAGAGTTGAAATGTGACATTTACTCAGGAAGATCTGGCTTGAAATGCATTGCCTCGCTTTTTGGTTTTGCGACACTCACTGTTACCCAGCCTTGGTTCTTCATGCTAAAAAAAAAATAAAAATGGGAACAACCATCTTAGTTTTAAAAAATATCAGTGACACATATTCCTTCAAGGACACTTGCCCCCATCTCCCCCACCATCCCTCCCCATGTATGCCATTTTCTCAATGTAAAATAGTCTACTTCATTCCTTTGTTTAGGAACACGGTGGTTTTAACATCACCTACCATGTGCAAAATAAAATAAAATGGAAAGGGGGGGGGGATAGAAGTCTCTTCCCGATCCCCTCTTCCCACCATGTGGAAGGATTGGAAGGCAGAAAAGGGGCACTGCCAAATGGGGTCACCCACCCTGCCAGTTAGGATTACCCCAGCAAAGTGCCGCTGGCGGCAAACAAACAAGGGGCCTTTGTGTCTCCCAGCAGCCTAGCAGGGGGTTGGGAGTGGGGGCTTTGCCTTGAAAGGGGGAACAAAGGCAGCCAGGAGATTCCACTGGAGGCTCTCCGGCTGGGCGAGCTCAAGGAGACATTCAGAAAACCCGTACCCGTGACTGCTGAGGGAAAATCCACACAGGGAGAGCAGGATCTGACCCAGAATGTGACACTCTAGTTCTGGACTGCCTTTTCAGGTGTGGAAAACGAATCCAAAGAGGAAAAAGTGTTCCCTACTCCCAGGGGATCTCAAGGCAGCCAACCTAAAATCACCCAAACGTTCCTCCTGGGCAGTCAGACAGAGATTCAGAGGTTTAAAACAGGCAATGTTTCGACAGGGGCACCAAGAAAGAAAAGAGAAAAGAAGATGCTGCTGCTGGTTATATTTCATTCAAGAAAAGCTTCAAAATTGGGCACTACCACAGAGAAGGCCCCTCCCACTGTTTTCTTTTTGTCAGAACATAATATATTTATTTCAGTCCCAACAGTGGAAGAAAGGCCTCTTTGAAGCTCTTTACACATGGATAAGAAGAGGGGGGAAAAAAATAGGCTGCTTTGAATTCAAAGCCATTTGGGAATCAGATGCTGGGATGAAGGTGAAGAGCTCCCAATAGGAGGCCACTTGATACTCATCAAGCTGTTTCCTGCCTATTAACCATCCATGACTGATGATGAATGTCTCTCCCCACCTCAAGCCGCATCTAGGTGGCTTCTCTTAGATCCTAGCTTGACAGAACACCTCCTAAGCTGGCCGTATTGTAGTTACCCTTTCTTTCCACAAGAGAGATTTATCCTATCGGAAGAGGTTCATTAGCAGGGCTATTGTTTTTTCCTGGCTCTCCGAAGCACTGCTGGGTAAAATCTCTGCCTGATTTTAACCAGCTTCCTCTTGATCTAGTGAGGCCGGTTTACTCTAGCACTGCCATGCTATAACATGAGCTGGATGGCATAGCAACTCAGTTTTGAGACTTGGCCCCACTGTGTGATTTTTGCCTAGCTTGAGATCAGAGTTTGCTGGAGGATAGGCTAGAAGGAGCAGAGCAAAATATCCAGGCATTAGATGCTTGCAGATGTGGCACAGAGTTCCTTCCTTCCTGCTCCTGCTCTCGCCTCCCCTGCCTCTCCTCCCTCCCACCCACGGCAGTGCTGGGGAGTCCACGGTGTGTTGGTGGGGAACCTCATACTGAAAGCAGGGCAGAAGTCCTGAGTCACAAACCACTAGCAACCCAGCACCCTGCAAACATGTTGAACTAGTACTCCCAGTTTTTCTAAACGTGACTTTATGTGTGCAAAAGAAAGCAATTAGGAGCAATCAGGAGTTGATCTATGAATAACGGGCGAAGGGTGTATGAATGGGATTGGCAGTGGACAGGCAAATGTCGGGTTAAAGGATTGTGGCTTTCAGATTAACTGTTGTCCTCCTACCCTCCAGTGGATGCCCTCACAGAGAGAGTGACTTGGCACATAGTGCTTCAGACGATTTGCATCTACGCATTCCTCAAGTTCCTTCAGGGAGGAGGAGCTGGTAAGTTACTGTGTGAAAGTTATAAGATACATATGATGGGCTGAGAAAGTTGCTATGGGGATGCCTGTCTTCCATCTTAACATCCGTATGAGATTTCATTGGTAACCTTTGTGCCCTTCAAGAAACATAGCAGCTCAGCTTTACGGCCTAACTAAATTTTTTGAAATGGAAGTGGTTGAAGCTGAGGCAAACAGCTTTGGAACAAAAACATTTCTTCTGCTTCTCTTTCTTACGTAATATATGGCAGACTGCGGTCAACAGGCGTGTGCCTCCTGACCATATTTAAACTTGCACAGTTGAAAGCTTTTAAACACTTACGTGCTCAGCCCCTGTGTAGCTCAAAGAATTTGTGGGGAAATATAAATTGATCACGCTGGCTGGAGAACTATGGCTGATGCAAGACTTGGCCAAATGGGTTGGGGATTCTGAGCAACTGAAATCTACCATTTCTGACAGGCACCAGATTAGGGAAGAATTCTTCTTGTTCAGAGTATTGGGAGTGCAGTCAGGTTTTCATCTGAAACAAAAGCACATGCACTGAAAAAAAAAATACACGTGCTTGCTGTAGGGACAACTGGCTTCATTAGCAACGTGCGCACTTTTCTGTGGATCCGCGTGCAACAGTTCACCAGCCGTGAAGTCCAGGTAGAGCTCCTCCGGCATCTCCATAACCTGTCTCTTCGCTGGCACCTGGAGCGCAAGACAGGGGAGGTGTTACGCAGTGTTGACCGAGGCACTAGCAGCATCAACAACTTACTCAGGTATGTGGGATATGTCTGACTGGTGGGAATCCATCAGTGTTCAATGGCTGGCAGGGATTCCTGCAGTCAGCTCTTCTCCTTCTGACCCCAGTGGGGGGAGAGGAGTTTTGGAAGGGGCGTTGTACACTGTGTGATTTTAGTTTCCCACCCTCTCATCCTACAGTTACATCATATTCAGCATCTTCCCCACCGTGGCTGATATTGTAATTGCTATTGTGTATTTCGCCGTAACCTTCAGCGGCTGGTTCGGCCTCATCATCTTCCTCTGCATGAGCCTTTACCTCAGTGAGTGTTTTGATGCCAGGGGCAGCAGTGTGGGGGGGGGGGCAGAGAAAGGTTTCCATTGTCTTCAGAATTAAGCCTATGGTACTGACCTAAGGGAACTGGGAATTATAATTTAATAAAAGCCTTCCCCCACTTAATGCTTTTTTTTCTGATTAATGAAATTACAACCCAGAATTTCCAGCCATGAAGGCCAACTGTCAGAATAGCTGGGTCCTCTGGAGTTACGGTGTCAAGATATTTGGAGGAGAGGCTGTTTTAGAAATAGAGCAGATGACTCAGTCCTGATCCAGTTCCCAACCTAGATAATTAAAAGGGATTTTAACACTTTGCTCCTGCTGGGACACTGATCCAAATTGCTCTTTGAATAGGCATTACATTGCTGAACAAGCAGGATCTCTTTTTAGTACGATAAGTGACACCCAGGATGAAATACTTTGACCTTCAGCTGCCCTGTATCTCTTCTACTCCTCTCAGATCTCATAAACAAAGGAAGTGAAGCTATACAGGTAGTCTGACAGACATACAGATACAGGCATTCTTTTTTGCTGTGATCTGACATAAAGTATCTTATGCAAATCTCAGACAATAAGCTAACTTTGCATTGAAATAGATTCAAGCTCCGGCCTATTGGAGACTAATTTAACACAGTAGGACTTAAATAGGTATGTCTAATTGGTCTTGTTGATTCTGATGGCGGTTAAAATAGGGGTAAGTAATCCATGAGCAGCATTTGGCCCATAAAGCCCCAAAAATCACCATGTAAAATGCTGAAAAATGAAAGGAAAACCAAATGAAATATAAGCCATAAGGTAACTAAAGTTGCCACAAAACTTAATCTCCATGAAATGCTCTTACGTCCTTGAATAATGTCATAATGTTGTTGGCCTGCCTGCTATGGAGTTCAGTATTTCTCTCCTCCAACCCCAAGGAATTTTCAAAACTTAGTCTTTCAGCCACCAACACTTTGCTCTCTTGGAGAAACATGAGAAATTTTCTCTTGGTTTAACCTTTAAATTAATTGTGTCACTGCAAATTATATGTATTAAGCATATTTGGTAGGCTTGCATGAAATCCTGCAGGAAGGCCCTGTTTAGCTACTCATTCCTAAATGGGAAATGGAAACAAAATGGGGGAAATGAACAAAATGGGGAGGGGAAAGGTTTTGTTCTTATCTTAAAATAAAAGTGTCCCATTCAGAATGCTTATTTATAGTGCTTTAATGGATTTTCTTCATATAGGACAAAAGTCAAAAACCTTATGACTGTGCAAACATAGGAAACAATGAGAAATGCGAATGAAAGGTGCCCATGACTTTCTGTATTTCATCCAACAGCCACAAAAAAAGGTGTAGGAGTAGTTCATTGCTACTTGACCAGCAAATCTAAAAAAACTTGGCTCAAATTAAATCCCCATTTCGCACAATGGCATCCTTAGTGTGCCTTGCACAAACAACATGAGTGCAGCAACAAGTAGTGGCTACAATGCGTTGGCTTCTGAATAGATCATAAAAGTAGAGCAACATCAAAAACAGACTTTTGGCCGGCAGTTTATGTCTGCTGCATATGCATGGAATACTTTTGCAATTGGCCATCTGCAACGCAAGTAACATAATTTTTGGAAATCTGCCCAAAAAGGGGAAAAAATTTCAGGGACAATATCATAACATTGACATTGACTTTCCCAGAGCAAATACATTTTTAAAAATAAACAAGGAGCAATCTTTTTCTTGTCTAAAATCTTTTTTTTTTTTAGAAAAAAAAGCAATCTTTTTCTTATCTTGTTACTTGCCCTCAGCCCCACCTTCTTTGCTGAACTGTCTCACACTATTGACTGCAGAAGTGGAACATTCCTGTTGTATTAATTAATATATTCTAAGCCTCCATAGTTACAGGGTTTTCTTTATTTAAAAAAATGTGGGATAGTTGAACACTCAGACAAAGGGAGACAAAATGTCTCATTTTCTCTTGAACTCAAGACAGAATTCGGGACAAAGGGATAACTATTTCAAGATCAGAACAATTTGTACATCCCTACATTGGAGATACCACTGCTTACTTGTTGTTCAGCTATCTTTATCAGGGTGAAAGAAATAATTTTAATTTTAAAAAAACGCTTTTTCTTTTTGCCACTTTTTGAATAGTCTTGGTTGTGAGTTGAAATGGAAAGAATCAAAGATATCTCTGATAAGCCTGTGTGAATTTGCTATAGTGATAGTTGGCCTCTCTTTTTCCATGTAGCACTGACTATAATACTGACTGAGTGGCGAACAAAGTACCGCCGTGATATGAATCTTCGTGACAATGATGCCAAGTCTCGAGCTGTTGACTCACTTCTCAACTTTGAAACGGTACCCAGGGCCCCCACTTAACCATCACTGGTGGGTGGGAATAGGGAGTACAAGGAGTTAGCCTAAGCAAACCATTCTGGCTGACTTTTCCCCCTGCGTTGCTTGAAATCGCTTCAGTTTCAGATTTTTGCTTAGAGGAGGAAGAGCTTTCCACTTTGATCTAACGCTCCCCACCACCACCACCCACCCGGGTTCAATGAATATGTCTTGTTCGTCAAGAGTTAACTTAGAATGAAAGTTAGGTGACTTAGAGTAGGGAACGTCATTTTTGTACTGACCGGTCCCTGGTTTGGTTTGTTGCAGGTGAAGTATTACAATGCAGAGGACTATGAGGCTAGACGCTTCAATGATGCCATTATGAAGTATCAGGTATAGAAGGATCTTTATGCAGTGTTTGGACTTGTTTCTTTCATGTCTGTTATAAGGCATTATTGGGGTTTTTTTTTTGTTAGTCTGCTTCCCTTCAGTACCAGCAGAGATGGAGGGAGAGAGGTATATCTATCTATCTATCTATCTATCTATCTATCTATCTATCTATCTATCTATCTATCTATCTATCATCTATCTATCTATCTATCTATCTATCTATCTATCATCTATCCATCTATCCATCCATCCATCCATCCATCCATCCATCCATCCATCCATCCATCCATC